AGGGGGCACTCTGATGGGGACAGTTGATGTATGGGGGCAGTCTGATGGGGACAGTTGATGTAAGGGGACACTCTGATGGGGACATTTGTTGTAATGGGGCACTATGATGGGGACAGTTGATGTAATGGGGCTTTCTAATGGGGACAGTTGATGTAATGGGGCACTCTGATGGGGAAAGTTGATGTAAGGGGGCACTCTGATGAGGCAGTTGATGTAAGAAGGCATTCTGATGAGGACAGTTGATGTAAAGGGGCACTCTGATGGGGGCAGTTGATGTAAGGAGACATTCTGATGGTGACAGTTTATGTAATGGGGCAGTCTGATGGGGACAGTTGATGGAAGGGAGCACTTTGATGGGGACAGTTGATGTAAGGATGCACTCTGATGGGGGCAGTTGATGTAAGGACGCACTCTGATGGGGACAGCTAATGTAAGGGGGCACTCTGATGGGGACAGTTGATGTAAGGGAGCACTCTGATAAGGACAGTAGATGTAAGGGGGCACTCTGATGGGGACAGTTGATGTAATGGGGCAGTCTGATGGGGAAAGTTGATGTAAGGGGGCACTCTGATGAGGCAGTTTATGTAAGAGGGCATTTTGATATGAACATTTTGTTGTAAGGGGTACTCTGGTGAGAATGTAAGGGCTCTCATAGGAGCTTTGATGTAAGATGGAGCTTTAAGGAGGACTCCTGATATAATGACTGATTCTTAAAGGGACATCTGGTATAACGGGACACAGGTTCTGTGTAATCATCCTAATCTAATGATAGCCTAATATATACTAGCATTCTCTGTTCACTCCTGCACTGCCTCTGCACTACCTGTCAAACATTATTTCTGAATTATTATTATTAATATTATTATAATGACTCTGTGGTACATAAGCATACCAAGTGAACAGGAAATACTGGTTCCATGCATCTCTGTCACTCTATTGACATTATACCCCCCTGACTTTTTTACTGCACCCATAGATCAAATAGGCCCTGTCCTGCTGGGACAACAGATAAAAGAGCAACTTAAGTTGTTGCAAAAAGGTATTCTTAAAAGAACTGTTGGGTCTGCAATGTAGCACATTCCAGAACTGTGTATAATACTGTAGATCACTGTATATAGCAATAAATAACCCTGTATAACAGCAACTAACTTTTTTTGAAAACTCTGTCAGCTCTCTAAATCTACTCCAAGATGTACTGATAACACATTGCTGCGAACCACACATAAGTTATTGGAAATTGATTGTATATAGCTGTGAATGGCTGCTCGTGATGGGCCGAACATTCCCGTGTTCGGTTCATGGTTGAACATTCAAACCAAATGAATGTTCAACCCTGAACTTCAAACTGAGTGCAAATCTATGGGACTCGAACTTTTAAATTCAAAAGTGCCCATTTTGAAGGTATTTAAGCAAGTTATTGGCCATAAAAGGGGTATGAGGGTACTGCTCTGAGGGACATGAATCAGTGAAAAAAAAAAAAAGTACCAATTTTAAAGGGGCAGTCACTTTGCTTACAGTTCAAAAAAAAACAAATTGCCTGTGTAAAACCATAACCTCTGCTCCATGATGAAGAGCATGTACCTGCCCACAAACGCTGGCCTGCTGGTCTCTTAGGTCTATTACCCCTGAAGAAGTCACGTGATCTGAGTTGGGAGGAGCTGGTGACAACATGGCACTACCAAGAAGTGTGCAAGCAGCATTTTTGTTGGAGGTTAACCTGTATGTAATGCCTGATACTGCAGTGCACCGAAGTTTAGCGCACTTTCTTAAGTGTAGGAATTTTTTAAATAAAACAATATATTGTCAGCAGAGAGCGCTATGTATTCTTTCTCTTTTTGAGTTTTATATTGTATTGGTACAAAGCACTATGTAGGAGGGAATTGGATTGTAAAGCTTCTGAATATTAGAGTGGAGATCGTTGCTGTGTCTTAGAACTTCATTTTAAGGGGAAGGCGCATATGACCTAATACACATTAGGCCTAGGATATAAGGTGAGAGTATAAGCATTGTGATGATGAGATATGCACTATGGATGAACTATATATTTTAAAACTTTAAAACACTGATGGATGTATGAAGATATTAGAATAAGAAGGTGTTTGAAGTGTTGCTGATGCATCTTGAGAACATGTTTATTAAGAAAGTTTTAAAGCAGTACACACAAATTTGGTACACCTAGACATTACTTTACATCTTTACCAATTTTAGAGACACTTTGTGAACTAAAAGAAGTAACTTCGTGGACATTTTGTTTTGTTATTTTCCACTTTATTTTTTCTAAGAAAATAAGTTTGTATTTAGTTTTATTTAATTTTTATACATTGTGGTTGAGTATTGCGCAGCACTGTTATACGTATACTTTTATCATTTTGATGTAACTGCTTTGTTTGAACCATAGTAAGTCCAGATGCTTTTCTCTTGAGAGCAGATTTTATTAAATAAATAAAACACAGAAAAATAAAGAACATTATAAATGAAAGTCTAAATGACCTATGTTTGTGGTGTTTTATTTTATCATATATTAAATCAAAAAAATATGTTCATAATCCAAAACTTGTTGTGATGTTAATTTCTGTATCTATTTAAATGATTTGGTATATGTACCATAGGAAAATGTGGTCACTTTAGGGATCTTATGCAGTAAGTTACAGTGATGGAGCATGACAGTCAGAATAGGACAAGCTATTAGCTAGCCTTCAACTCTATTACATTGCTATGCGCGGTGACATAGAATCAGGAGACTCAAGGATGCGGGGTCAAAGGTAGCACAACATTACATTAATCTGTTCAGTTGGTAGACACCACTCGTTTGGCCTTTAAATAAACCTAGATGTTCATTGTTTAATTAGGAAAAGCATGGACACTGGTCTGGAATTAGGAACTTATCAAACTATGACAAGTAATTATTTTAATATTTTAAATTATTTTTTTTTCCTGTCACTGCCTATAAACAATTACTGGAAACTGATATGATTCATACACTAATCACGTTATCAGTATTACATTTTGCTAAAAAGGAAAGAAAAAAGGCAAAGAAAGATAATATAATGTAGTATGTTCCACAAGCCCCAAGATATAGCAGGACTCCAACTGAAACTAAAAAAATAATTAAGAGCTTATTAAAAGATAAAGTTCAGCATATTAAAATGGCAGCTATCCGTGAAATACTCACCTTCAATTTGGAGCTATCCCTTGCAAAACTGGTTTTCCACCATTTTTTTTTTTTAATCACATTTCATTATATAATGAGAACCAATCAGTGTGGCAGTAACAAACACCCCAGCACCATTGGAGGAGAAAAAGAAGAACTTTTGTTATTATAGGAGTTACTTAAAGCCATTTGGAAAGTCTTTTAACACTTTAATTGATGCCAATGTAATAGTAAACAAACTTCTGTCTACTATACAGGTTTACAATTTCACTCCTAGCTATTTATAAGAAGTGATTTGGGCCACCTAATCATTTCAACAAATGAATAAAGGTGCCACCCCAAACCCCCTGACCCCTCCTTCCACCATATGTCCTGAGCTTACCTATGTACATCACAAAAGTGTGAGAGAATGTATAGATAGATAAATAGATATTTATTTAAGGTATAACGCTGCCAATTTACACCACGCTTTACATATATATTGTACATTCCCATCAGTCCCTAACCCTCAAGGGGCATACAATCTAAGGTCCCTAACTCACATTCATATACAAGGGCCAATTTAGACATGATCCAATTAACCTACTAGCATGTCTTTGGAGAGTGGGAGGAAACTGGAGTACCCAGAGGAAACCCACGCAGGTACAGGGAGAACATGCAAACTCCAGGCACGAGGTGCTGTGTCTGGGATTCGAACCAACGACCCTAGTACTACCAGGTGGAAGTGCTAACCATTTAGCCACTGTGCTGCCCGTGATAGATAGATAAATCGATAGATAGATAGATAGATAGATAGATAGATACATACATACATACATACATACATACATACATACATACATACATACATAGATTGAGTAGTGTTCATACTTTTGCATACCCTTGGAGAATTGGTAATATACATTATGTACCATTTTAAAAAGAAAACACAAGAGAACAGACAAAAAAACATTTATTTTATTTATTATGCGATTCAAATTCAACTGTAGGTCATAACAGAATGGCACAATCATAAAGTAAAACATTGCAACAGGTAAGGAAATGAAATGACCCCTGTTCAAAAGTCTGCATACCCTTAATTCTTATTATTGCGTATTGCCTCTTTTAGCATCAATGACAGCGTGCAGGCTTTTGTAATAGTTTTCTATAAGGCGCCAAATTCTTGCAGTTGGTATAGCTGCCCATTCATGTTGGCAAAGTACCTCCAGGTCATGCAACGTGTTTGGTTGTCTTGCATGAACTGCATGTTTGAGTTCTCTCCAAAAGTGACTCAATGATATTAAGGTCAGGAGACTGTATGACCACTCCAGAAGCTTCAACTTTTTCTGCTGTAACCAATGGAGGATCAACTTGGCCTTGTGCGTAGGGTCTTTGTCATGCTGGAAAGTCCAAGAGCATCCCATGCGCAGCTTTTGTACAGAAGAGTGCAAACTTTTTTAACCTCCCTAGTGGTCTGATTATGTCAGTATTTCTGTGTTCAAAGCGGTACATTTTTTTGCATGGAAATATGTCGTTTTTTTTATTGTAGGCCTGTAATTCTTAGGAATAACTCACTGAAATCTGTCCGAACAAGAGTCTAGTAAACATCCCGGGTATGATAAAATTTGAAACGCGAAATCATAAATTATAATAAATAATCATAAAAATAATAATATAATAATAATACATTTAATTCATTATCACTCACTTCTGCAAGTAGTTCTAATTTACTATCGCTGTTTTCTAGCTGGTCTAAAACCCCTTTTGACCTTAAGGGACGCTTTTTGGACGCCATGGACTTTTCTCGGTTTCCATGCAGAAAGAACAGTAAAAATGTAGGCAGGGCACAGGACAAAGCACTAGGGGCAAAATGTATGTGAAATGGTTTGATACAGTAATGTTATACTATGAGATTTTAGTGTATTGAGTGAATGTCACATTTTAAAATTTTTTCATTTCCCATCGGTTCCGTCCCCCATATGTCCCGTGCGTCCCGACGCTCGCAGGGAACGGAACCCGGAAGACAGATGCCAGCATCGGCCGGAGGAGATGGCCTGAGGCGCTGCAGGGGGGACATCGTGGGAGCGCAGGACAAGGTAAGTGCTGGAGGGATCCCAGAGCAACGCTGCAGTGTAATCCCGTGAGTAATAAAATAGAGAAAAAATAAGGCGCTTGTAGATATCATGCATCGCTAGACGTAAACTATCTGCCCAGTAACCAAAAAACATGCAGCAAAAAAGGGGGACATGAAAAGAGATTCACAAAAAGTGATAATTGCTCATAGACCTGAACAGGTAATGTGGGCTTAAATACATATATATTGAGATGCGTTAGCCTCTATGATGGCTAAATGAGGCAATAATGACAGTAAATAATGGCAAGAGTAGGTGGTAGAATATTAATCATCAATATACATGTCCAGGATACTATGTAGAATGAACTGAATAAACAGTATACAGGTCACCACTTGGCTTCCTCAATGTATTAGATATGGCAGGGCCCTGCCTTAAGGGATTTCTTCACTGCAACATGCGGGCTAAGCCCACATTACCTGTTCAGGTCTATGGGCAATTATATCTATATTACTTGGTACTTGTTATTTTTATACAGGATTTATTATTTGTTATCAGCCATTCATTGCACTGCATGCTATGCCTATTTTGGTACAATTTTTTGACATACCTCCTGTTTGGCGGTGTAACCTTTGTGTCAGTGCTGCAATTAGACAATTGTCACTATGTCTGCAGTACTTTACTACTTAGACCGGTCCTGACGTTTGATTTTATATGATTTTAGGTCTGTCTTTGTATTATCTCATACTGAGGTGATGGTGAACTGAGGTATTTACCTTATTTGTCCACATATGTATTGTGTAATAAAGCATAATTTTTGGAATTACTTTGAGTATCGCATTCTGTCCATTATGTAACCATTTTTTGTGAATCTCTTTTCACGTCCCCCCTTTTTTAATCCAGAGTGTAGCTCAGGGTTACCGCTTCTGGTACTGAAAGTTAACCCTGAGCTACACTTGGGAATACCGCCAGGGGGGTTAAAGTCCAAAGTGTCATCATCTTGTGCTCCTTGAAACAACCACACCGACTTTTTTCAGAGCAGCCTTTATTTCTCCTGGGGTTACCAGTAAGGTTTTTTTTTTAGTATCCTGAACAATTCTTCAGGCTGTTGTGGCTGCGATCTTTCTTGGTCTACCTAACCTTGTATTGGTATCAAGAGACTTAAAATTTTCCACTTATTAATTGTTTATTAAGTGATTGAACAGTACTGATTGACATATTCAAGGCTCTGGATATCTTTTTATTACCTTTCCCAAATGTATAAAGTTCCATTACCTTGTTACGCAGGTCTTTTGACAGTTCTTTTCTGCTCCTCATGGCTCAGTATCTAACCTGCTCACTGCATCCATAAGACAGCTAATAAGCTCATTGACCGTTCATACACAGACACTAATTGGGAAAATAACCATGAATTGCCATTTTAACTTGCGTGTGTCACCAATGCCAAACGTTCCAGGGTATAGAAACTTGATCATGGCCATTTGGGTGATTTCTGTTATCATTATGATTTAAAAAGGAGACAAACAACTATATGATATCAAATTGCTGCATGTGATCACTATCCTTACATAAAAGACTGTTTTGTTGGCATGATCATTCATATTTTCAATATCAATGCCAAAATTTCATGAATTCTGCCAGGGTATGCAAATTTTTGAGCACAACTGTAGATAAAACAAAAGATACCTAATATTATCAAGAGAATCCTCTTCTATGCCCCTCCTTTAGTTTCCTTTAGGTACTGTGTATCTCCAGGTAATTGTTTTTTAACGGGGGACTCACCCCTTTATTAGTACTGGTGACCATCATCACAGTCTTTCTAGGGAAAACTGTCCATGCGGGAAATTCTCTGGATCTTTGGAGATTTCCTCTAATTTCCTGTTGATTCTTTGGCAGAGAGAACAAAGTCAATGCTACACAAATAACAAAAACAAATTGGCAGCAGTTTACACCCTTCTCCATTCTATCCTAAATTAAAAAATATTGGGTACTTTCTATATTTCTTGAACAGAAAAAATATATTTGTAATGTAAATAATTAATCTCAGTCTTCACTGGACTGAGATTGAGCTCTGCAGTCACATTTGCAGCAGTTGTTTTCTTATTCAAGGTCACAATCCTGTGCAATGCCCTTTTGTCTCTTTCCGTCAGTTGATGGAAACTGTATATGCTATCATATCCTTTGATACTGTACCTCGCGACACTGCAAATAAATTGGCAACTTCAGTCACAGAGGCACCAGTTAAATGGCACCAGCAATTTGCCTTCTTTGCAGCTCAGTAAGCTCTGACATGACTCCATATTACTAGCAGCACACGAAGTGTCAGGGACCCCAGAGCTGGCCGCAATAGCACACGGGTTTGCGCATGCGCAGTGTGCCTGGCAGCACTAGCGTGAGAGCATTGGGACCTGGGCACCCGCGACTGCAGCGGCGCTCGCGCATGCGCACTTGTGATCACGGACGTGCGACTGGCACCAATCAGGGCGCAGGGTGCCCTATTTAAAACAGGTCAGGTCTGACTATAGTTGCCGTATGGTCTTACCTGTATCCTGAGTTTCCTGTATTGTAGATTGCCTTGTTGCCGACCCTGCCTGACCCTGATTTGCTGTCCGTCTCCTTTTCTGATCCCTGGCTTGTCTGACTATTCTCCTGCTTAACCCTGCACGTTCTGATCTCCTGTTACCGAACCCAGCTTGTGACCTGTTTATCCTTCTGCCTACTGATTTGGTACCGTTCTGCCTCCACCGTTACCGACCCGGCCTGCCCGACTCTGCTCTCGCTACCTCCTCACATCAGGCTCTACCCTGCTATACACCTCCAGTGGTGTTTCTACCACAGCTGGGTGAACCCAGGGGCTGCGGCCTGGTCTCGGCCTGCTCCAAGTCCATCTGCACCATCAGGAGCCCTGGTGAACAAGCAGGTTGGGACTTACATTCCGTGCCTTGGGGGATCCCGGTCTGTGGAACGCTAGAGGCTACCACCGGCAGGGACATAACAGAACCATACGGCCACTATAGTCAGACCTGACCTGTTTTAAATAGGGCGCCCTGATTGGTGCCAGGCGTGCGTCCGCGATTGCGAGTGCGCATGCGCGAGCGCCGCTGCAGTCGCAGGTGCCCAGGTCCCAATGCTCGCACGCTAATGCGGCCAGGCACACCACGCATGCGCAAACCCGTGTGCGATCGCGGCCAGCTCTGGTGTCCCTGACATGAAGTGAATGACGAAAGTGAGGCCTTCCACCTGTTAGCTAGGTGTCTCATCACACAGCAGAAACAAAAGAATGTTACATCACTTCTGCTTTCAATATATATATATGTAAAATGGGGTTTATTTGCTAAAACTGGAGCATGCAAAAGCTGGTGCATAGAAGTCAAACAGCTTCCGTTTTTTTTTTTTTCTTTTTTTTTAAGTGTAATTGAACATGCTGAACTTAATAGCTGATGCCAGATTTTGCACTCTCCAGTTTTATTATATCCACCCCATTGCATTATAGATGGTGTATTATCGTATAGATGTCATTGTTCGTACTTTTCTGTATGGATAATAACTGTAATACTGTAGGAGAAACATACTGGCATCAAAGCTGATGTGATTCCTAGGAGCTGATTTACTAAAGGAAACGAGGCTGTTCACTTTGCAAGGGAATTTTCCCTTAGCTTAGTGAATGAGGTGGAGCTCAAGATTGCATCAACCAATCATGTGCAAGCAAAAATACTGTTTTTTTGGCACCACATTCATTAAGCTAAGGAAAAATTCTCTTGCAAAGTGAAAATACCCTTTCAAAGTGCACATCCTACTTACCATGAATAAATTAACCAGAAAGTAATGCCTGTAATATTATAGTATACATGACTATGGGGTTGATTTACTAAAACTGGGGAGTGCGAAATCTAGTGCAGCTCTTCTTAGAAACCAATCAGTTTCCAGTTTGTTTTGCCAAAACGTAATTGAACAAGTTGACGTTAGAATCTGATTGGCCACCATGCACAGCTGCACCAGATCTTGCACTCTCCAGTTTTAGTAATTCAACCCCAATCTTTCTGTACTTTTATATTCGGTTTGAAAAAGAACGTTCTTTCTCTCTTCTCTTTCCCTCATTCTCTCTTTTCCTTATTTCTCTCCTTTTTCTACGCTCTTTCTTACTCTCGATCTCTTGTTATTTAACTTTCACTCTAGCAGACACACAAGAACCCAGCACTACAGTGCAAATATTCACGTAAAATATCTGTGAATAGAAAGACCCAATCAAATCCTCAGCTGGAATGTGACACAGACACCACGAGAAAACATGAGCCACTCTACCACAGAGCACAAAGTTACTCTTTCTTTTAACTTCCTTAGTTACTCCAGAGCTATTTTCCAAGGAACACATTTGTAACAAAGAATTTTTGGCTCGGAGAGTGAAGGCTAGACTGACGCCATGGGCCTTTCCTCACCCTAAGAGTCCTTTGTTTGGTGCCAAAAGAATCACTCCATTCATTATCCCCACAGATGCTTGGCCTGAAGGCAGAGAGAGCTGGTAAAAACAACAAGTAGCTAAGTTCCCCTCCAGTCTAGGCTATCATTATCTACACGAGAGATGATGAGTTTGTAATGAAGTTGACGAGGCTTATTCAGACACTCGCAGATTGGCAAAGGGATAAAAAGTGTGTTCAATTTTCCTGTTGTCTGATGTTGAAGTTAGCTGTCATCCTTCACTATATTAGTCACACTTTAAGGAAGGGCTTTGGAGGAAGGGTCAGAACAAAGCTACTGTACGCTGATATTTCACAGCCAGAGGAAAAAGGCATAATAAATGTGCTCTGTAATTTAAATCACGCTGCTGCTGCTGTGGGAAACCTCTGCTGAGGAATTAGCGCGGTGCACCAAGCTTC